GGCTCTCTTTGGCTCTCTTTGGCTCTCTTTGGCTCTCTTTGGCTCTCTTTGGCTCTCTTTGGCTCTCTCAGACTGTGATACTAGAGTTAAGTACATTATTTTAAAATGGAAAATTTATAATTTAAAAAAAGTCTGTTGTGAAGTGTCAGAAATGTTGTGTATTGTCTGCCATCATTGATTTCTCGTTCTTCCAATTACAACATTTTCACGAAATTCTTTTCTCTTGATTATGCATTAGGGGAATCCGTCACTGATGCTTCTGATAATACAACCTGTGGATATTACACATGCGGGAAGAACGCAATCTGCAGCAGGACTAAAGGGTATGAAGAGTGCGTTTGCAAACCAGGATTCTACGGAGCAGCATATGGATCGAGTTCTGTTTGTACTTCTGAACCTGAGTGTATTGGTACGTGAAAACTTCTACTAATGTTTTAGTACTTTAATGATTTACGAATTATGGTTGTGCCTTCAAGCAACATTCATTCATGTACATGTTTGAAGAAAAGAATATACCATTTGGTATTTTGAAAATGCATATGAAAATCAACCGTTCACACAAAAAAAAATTGGTTTCAAAAATCGTCTTCAATTCTTCGGTACCAGAAAACATATTTCTCATTAATCAAGTAAATATGTAATTACTAATTTAAAATGTTTCATTCAACATTATTGGCGCATAAATATATATAGGGGAATTTCTACATAGAAGTCGAGTTGAAATGCAATCGAAAATTACGTTCGTGATAATAAATTGGGTTAAAACTTCAAATTTATGTGTTAATAACCAGATAAATTAGTGATGCTTATTCAAACAAATACTGTTTTTTTAATTTTCTGATTTCTTTATTTTCCTTTACATTGCCTTAATTTTTATAATCCTTGATTTTTTTACTTATAATTTTTTTTATAATTTTGGTTAGTGTAATATACACCAATGTGTTACATTGTATGTACGTGTCGTGATCTTTATTTCTCAACAGATGATTCTGGATGTGACGACGATAAATCCTGTAACAGTAATAACTTATGTGTCAACCCATGCTTTTACAAATGCATGGATGTTGGCTGCGAAGTGAAAAAACATGTGGCAAAATGTATTTATGATGGCCATCTGTTTTGGGAACCTTACGTGCAAGCAACCACTCCTCCTGCCGAAGGAAGTACTTCAGAGCTACATGTGCAGCCAACAAGCCCTGAAAATGAAGAAAGTTCTCCACAGAGAAAATAAATTGTTATCTTCTAACAGATTACCAATGATACTTTATGAACAAAAGTAATTTATGAATAAACATTTTTAATAATATTGGATCTCATAAATGAATTGAAGTAATCTCTCTTATTTCTCGATCTACGAGTTTATTATGTTGTTGATTTACGGAGTTTCGAAATAGTTTACTGTCTTGCCTGTAGATGGCCATCTTATACGTGTTCCAATAGGAATGTGCAAGTAGATGAATATAACCATACACAATCACTTCAGCTTAGGACACTAAATAATGTTGGCGCTAGTTTCACTAGCAGGGCCATCTGATGTCCGAAGCAGATGAATATAACCTAGAAGAAGGCCCCTCGGAACCTGTATAGATCTATAACCCTTTATAGATATTTACCTCTGGGTCTCTTTCAATACGTGGTTTCCACCAAGTCCACACAGGTTGCACGGATTCCGAATTGCGAATTAAAAGCTCGAAGCGCATATTTCATTTTATCAGATTGTTTTTGAATGAAATAGGCAGGAATTTTAGCTCATAGAAACAGATCCCATATATTTTTACTTCAAGGTAAAAAATAATGTTTTCTGTAAGTGATTAAGGTTTGTCTCTTGTCAAAACTTAATATTACTCGTTTTTTTGTGGATGCGAGCTCTTTGCTACTTTTTTATTTATTTATACGGGAAGTTTTTCTATTAAATTAATTACACTTACTGCATCTATTTGGAAAGTTAAGCCATCGCTGTAAACAAACCTCACCGAAAACGTACGGCCTGGCTATAATCAGGGCAACTCCCTTGCAATATACATATTGACGGACTATGTACGAGTACATTGGTGAGCAAGAAATAATGATATAAGAAAATAATTTAATAAATTAATAGCAATGAAACTAGAGAGTGCGGAGATGTAAGACAGACACACAATATTTATCTGTCAATGAGTGAACGAATCTTGGAGTCAAAGTATGGGAAGGGAAGAAATATAAAAATTCATTCAATCGAATCCAGATTAAATGAAATAATTTCGTTTTATTTATTTATTTTCACTTGGATAGGACAATACAAAGATCAGTGATTAATACACTCTACAGAATAATTTCGTAAAGATATCTTTGTATTACTTTCTATTGCAAAGATTCAAAGGTGTGTTAGGACTTACTTGATTCAAAATTACCTAGAGTTCCGTACAATCATAATTAATGTCACAAATACTACTTCGACACTCGTGGATTTATCAAATTACATATTCACGAGTGGGACAGTGAGGCAATTTCGTAAATAAATACATTATTGAACCGAAATAAACTGTATACACCAACAATTTTCAATTGAAACTAACGATTGATCAGAAAGTTCAAATTGCACCCAGAGGATCTACATGGACCACTTTGGTATTGACTAGTTTAAATCTATCACCACCCACACAGAAAATAAAACTATACCCAATAGAAGTCAACGTAAAATAAACCAAAATTAAAGGCTTATTTCATTTTAAAACAGTAGCATTGCATTAAAACAGTAGCATATTATTTTCAAAATTTAGAAGCCGTTTGAGTGCTGCTACTACAGACTAGATTTTGAGAGAGCAAAAGCATCTTGGTTTGTTTCTAATAATGAATTGCATAAAGACTGATCTATCCGCAACAGCGCAATTCTTTTCCAAACTTTTCAATATATTTTTCCAGATCCTATTTTTCCATCTTCTACACCCGCAAGTCATTTTCGACTTGGAAAATCCTACACCCAAAAGAAAATTCAATCCAGATTCCCCGAGAATAAGTTCAGACCACCATTCAATAACACATTTTCTCTTCTAACCTAATGGTATTAATTCCTAACCCCTCACCATTCCTCGATATAATACATAAATTGAAATTGAAAACTCCGAAGAGAGAGGCATCGTTCTTATTAAGGCTACACACACACACACACACACACCCACACACACACTCACACACACACACACTCACACACACACACACACACACACACACACACACACACACACACACACACATATATATATATATATATATATATATATATATATATATATATATATATATGTGTGTGTGTGTGTGTGTGTGTGTGTGTATGAGAGAGAGGGGAGATATAGAGGGATTATTATTAATATGGTGCGAATTTTGATGCCCTAAAAGCAAAGAAAAATGAAATAGAATAATTTATGTAATCGAGGCTTCTACCGTTCGTTCTAGTGAACTCAGCTCGCAAACTTTTAGTTTGGACTATTCTTTACCAGAAAATCTGTCTTCAGTTGACTGAACCGACAAAGGTGCTGACAGGTGTCACAGGAACTCTCTATTACATGCCTACAACAGCTGACATTACAATGTCTGAGCAAAGAAATCGAATAGGCCACATAGGAATTCTGGGGAGAACATTTGTTGCATCTTGCAAATACTATTTAAAGCAAGTAGCATTAAAATGATATCAAAAATAAATGAAACCAGCGAAAATTGACGGAAACGTTAAAATATGACTTATCAGTCGAAATCGAAGAAAAATGCAAAAAAAGGTAATGTAAATGGGTCATTTCCTTTCGTAAGAACATAAAATTAATTTCTATGCTGAAAGGCTTTGTTCTTAAGTGAAAAAAATGACAATTCATTAAGATCCGCCTCCAATTATTCAAAATATCAAAACACTCTTGTACAACGCGAATAGTCTGTATAAGAACATAAATTTAAAAAAAACAGAATAGCTGCGTGCGTGCGGGCGTTCTTTAGCCTCTCTCGCAAGGCACAGGCTGTCTCGCAAGGCGCAGACCCAGTGACCGGCGATAGCGCTTCTGACCTTGCGCCGCGTCCTCGATTCGCTCCTCGCTCGTCCATGTTGCACCCACGCGCCCGCTACTCGTCGGAAGCTCCTTCGCCGGCTGGGCTGGGAGCGAATATGCAGGTGAGTCATTGTGGGCGGTAAAGAAAGGACAAAGATCCTCGTATTCCTTATATTAATAGCACTAAACAACACAGTGGTCGGCAAGAGACTAGAAAAGAATGCTGATGAACATGACCACACAAAACCAAACAGGGTTTCCCCCAAAATTGCATTCACACTGCTCCGCAATAACGAATAAAATGTCACTGCACTAAATGAAATATTTTAACAAAAACATTTTTCACTAATTGTTCCTTAATATACTGTAGTATTTACACAGTGAAACAGTTCATTACGAACTACCAAGAAAAAAAAAGTTCATTCCATAACGATTATGTGAATAGCAAATATTTAATGGGAGTGACCTTTACTTCAGGGCCTTGCTGTTGTGTAACGTCGGTTGTGTCTTAAGCAGTGATAAACGGACTATGAGAATTCAGCTAGAACCCGCAGGATGAAAACGTAAAATAATAAAATATTTAAATTTTGAGCGAAAGTTGAATCGGAATAATTTGTTTTTGGATTTTTTCCGAGTTCCTGGGAATGTAACGAAATCTTTGACTCCTTTCATATCCACACATGGCCATAAGGTGCTTTGTTTTCTCTCAATTTCTCCGCCCATAAGAAATTAGTAAACGTTTTTTTTATTTCATTGTGTAGGGTGTTATTTCATTGTGCCTGTTCCGGCCTCTTGACAGTATCTTTCTATCGGTTTGTTGGCCTATCCACAAGTTTTCTTCCTCTCAGAATGTGAGACTTAATAGCTTTTGAATATCGGCTATCTTCCATCCTACCAACTTGTTGTTCATAACTATCAACACACAGTTCTATCTTATCACAAAGAGTAAATATTTTTAATTCATTCCTAATGTATGTGTTTTTTAGTTTATCATCTCTCCTGTGCCACACTAAATTAGTAATACAGATAATTCTTTTATCGTTTTGACCTCAGAAGCACAGATTCTAGAATTCCGAAATAGAACTGTTTTTCGTATATTTCCCATTTCGTCTAAGTCTTTATATCACTGAAACTTCGTGCGCATTTTACGTCTCGAGGCACTGGGAGAGGTGGCTAAGAGCATCAGTTGATGTTACTGCAGTGTTTCTGATCGGGATGTCCTATGTTCATGTCAAAAAGTGTGGCAAGATTTTCGACCCTAATTTGTCAGCTGCATCGCATTCCGTCGCTGTCTGGAGGAGAATTTTAGAGGCCAGCTATTCTGATCGATAGTTTTCCGTGGTTTCTCCGATCAACAGCAAGCAAATGCCGGAACAGTATCCTAACAAACGGGCCACGAACCACGCGCAATCTTTTCTTCCTCTTCCTTGTCCTATCCTCACCTCCTACACACATATCACGCACTGCTCTACCACACTTCCGGGAGAGCGGTCGGGAGCTTAGAGCTTGTTCCGGTTGGGGCGGTGCCCCGCAGGTGGGAGATACCTGGTTGAAGAAAACCCTGCTAGCCGTGAGGTTAGTCGGGGCCGCTATCCTGCGATGGCGGTCATTCGGTCGTCAGAACCATAGCCCGACAGGCGGCAGTCAGAATTCCAACGTACATTTTAATTTTCTATTTATTGGCACAACAAAGATACATAGATTAGTACTTTACTTTACAAAGAGTACTACAGTACTTTTGCACATGTAAGTTTTTGACTACTTAAATTAACCTTAAAAGCTGACTTAATTCCAAATCTAACTACTCAATGGCAAGGAAGCTCATAAAGCACTTACTTATTCACGAACTCAGACTGAATGTTTGTAAAAGCTTGAATCGGAAACCTGTTTTTAATTCTTGTACGGGAATCTTGTACGGTGATTTCAGCAAGGTTACATTGGGATAAGTGTTCGATTTGTTTGGTGCACGAGTAGAAATTTCTGGAGATCTTAATAAAGAAATGGAATATGGTATATTTAATTTTTTGTGCAATAGTTAATTTCAAACGATCCATGAGGCCTTTGTATTCTGAGATATTTATTTTGAATATGTGGATTTTAAGTTAACGAATTTACTGTTTGAAAATGGAGTAAATGACCTCTCGAGTTTACAAAAGCGCTTTGAGTCGTTGGCTAAATGTTAGTGATTCCGGACGCGTCAACTAACGAGGCCATTAGTCCCGTAAATGTAGTGCAAGTTTCTCCTCGGGAGGTAGCGGTGGTCTTCCCATGTTAGATGGCGAGATCCGGCGCGGACCTAGCCAGGTATCTCCCATCATC